TTAAAAAATAAAGATTGGTGAAGATTAAACAAGGATTATCTTTGTGATGATTGCATGGAAATTGTGTTTCGATCCCCCAGGCTAGAATGAAAAAAGGTGATTTTCCAACTTGGAAAGACAAACGAAGGCAACAAAGCATATAATATGATGAAGAAGAGGAAACTCGAAAAATCGTCTGCCCTCTCTTTTAGCTTTTTTTCTTTCTCATATATAAATTTTTGTCAAGTGTTGACTTGATACTTGTAGTATAAAATACGTTATCCTCATATTCAAGCAGAGGATTTTTTTTTTCTCATCTTGGACAGGATTAGTGACGGAGTTAGAATTTTAAGTTTGAAGAGACAAAAATAAAAAATTTAATATTTGAGAGAGTAAAATTATATAATTTGTTAAAAAATAAGGGTAAAATTATAAATATTTAAAGCAAAAACAAAAAAAAAATTATAAAATTTTGGAAGCACCCCCCTCCCTCCGCCTCTGGGCAGAGTTATCCTCATATTTTGAACTGATGCTTATAGTGTAAAATATGTTATCCTCATATCCAAGTAGAGGATTTTTTTTTCTCATCTTAGACAGGGCTAAGGCAAGGAACTTTTTAAATATTCTGAGCTATAATAGCAATTAAACAAAAATATTTGAATCAAGTGGGAACATTACAACGTATTAAATTTAAGGCAAGTAAAATTTTTGTAACTTAAAATCAATCATTAATTAGAAAAAAACTTATACTTATTCTGATTAATACAGAGAACCTTACAATATTTAAGTGTCCATAATATCTCAAAGATAAACAATGTGGAATTATTATCACAACTTTAATAATATTTAACCCACTTCTTTTCATTTTCCCTGTCCTAAGTCCTAATTAATCTTCTGATTTCGAAAAAAAAAATATTGATTTTTGTGGGTCAAGAGAGAAAACAATCATCCTCTTTTAACATATTTCCTCTCATTTTTTTATTTTTGGCTTGGACCTTAACCTTTAATTAGGGAGGTCTCTCAGCTTTAAAACAAGCATAATCAACTGACCTCCATCTGTCTCTCTGCACCACATTAATAGCTAGCTTACCACATTATAATTTTCATTATGTTAAAGAAAATGATCACAAGTTCGCATTTGAAACTTTGATTGTTAACATCTCTTTTGATTTATTTTGAGTAGTGCATGCATAAATGTACAATTTTTCATTGAAACCAATTTAGAAATTGGTGCACTCACTATATTTATACATATAAAATGCAAGAAGCAGCAGCAGCAGAGCAGCTGCGACCGCAGAGATAGTTGTCTTAATTTGGGGCCATGAAAGCAAAATTCCAAGTGTCTCATTATCACCTCCCACGCGGAACCTGATGGCAGAACATTTCATAGGTAGCCTTATACGAAGAATTCCACCTTCAAACTCTGCTCCAAGATCTTCAGTGTCGTACTTTGAAACATCAATTTTTTTGAGGAAGCGCTGTGGACTCCTCCCAACTGGACGTTCTCCACTGATATGCAAGACATCCTTTTCGAGTTCAACTTTCACTTCTTCCTTCTTGAACCCTGAAAAATCACAGTCCAAGATTTCATGCAATGCCTTAAACTTACATGGTTTTCCTTTTTTTTTTTGGAAGGTTATCTTATTAACACTAAGTCACTATGCCATCAAAAATCTTTAACTGTTTGCTGAAGACTTTCCTTGGCACAAAACCTGTGGCTTATGCAAAAAGGGAGATTATACAATTTCAAACAGAAAACTGCATGACAAGTTCATTTGCAATTTCCTTTCCTACATTGAGCTGCATGAAAAAGAAGGTAACTCTCTACCCTCACCCAAGGATCTGTGCTGTACGGACAAAGACGAACTCAAGGAATCATCAAGCACATCTCACTAACCCAAAAAACCCAGAATCCCAAGAAAAATGTGGCTTTTTATAGCTTTAAAAAAAATGTGGCTATTTATATATCAACATTGTTCTCACAATATACCTCATTTTAATAAATATTAAGGTGTCCATTTGGAGATAGGTTTGGACTATTTTTGATTGATACTTTTATTATTATTTTTAAAAAATAATTAAAAATTTTAAAAAATAAAGAAATAATGAAATCCAAGTTATAAAAGTATCAATCAAACCAAGTATTAGCAAAAAATTCAACCTTACAATATAACGTGCTTAAGAAACGGTTCAACAAGCAAGGAGAAGCTAAAAATGGCTAAAGAACAAAAAACAGTAATAATTATACCACTGAGCTTGATTTCGAGAATGTCAGTTGCTTTAGAAATGCAAATTTTCCGTTCCTTTTTCCACGTGCAATAGGGTTCAAATTCAGCGTAGGAAGGCTCCACGCTTCCTTCGTTCTTCATTTCCAAAGGAATTTGAGCCTTCTTTTGTTTTTCCTTTTCTGATCTCGAAATGTAAAGAGAAGCTAAATTAATCAAGAGACTCTGGGTGCATGGAAGTTCTCTCTTGCTTCTCCTTTTATGGACTTTTGACACATTCGCAAAGACAAGTGTTTTTTTTTTTTTTGCTTTTTTGTTTTCATTAGAAGAAAAGAAAAGGAGCGGTCTAAAACGTATAGTTATAGGCTTTCTCTTGAATAGCATATTCTTTTCTCCACAGTGATTGCTTGAAATTGCATCAAGCAGCAAAGTATTTCAAGAATAATTTTTACTGAATTAGTTAATATATCCATTAATGGAGTAAATTTTGCAAGAGAATAAGAATTGTTAAATATTCATTAGAGTATAATTAAATAAATTAATATAATTACGTCATGTTCCTCTAAGCTTTGTGAACTCACGTGGAGGAATAACTGAAGTTGGCCTCTTAAAGCAACCTCTGTGAATTCCTAAAACCACCACACACACACACACACACGCAGAGAAAGGAATGATTCTCTTCTAAGAGAAAACCCCCACGAAACAATTTACACGACTTGTAATCAACAAGGAACGAAAGAGTTAATGAGTATAAAAACATAGGAAATCCCTCATTACTTGCACGAAAATTCCATAAACTAGCACTGCCTTCTTTCAAAATGCAAAGCGATAAACAACAGGAAACACCCATGCCGAGGGTAGAATATATTGAGCCCTATTGTCAGTGGACTAGAGGAAAAGAGTTGGACAGAATTGAAATTACTCTCGATGGTATTGTATTTTTTTTTCTTTCTAAGTAGGTTTTTCAATGATCGGACACTTGAAACTCTGAGTTTGGTTTCAGCTCTAATTAACTTAGACTTTACCAAACATTAAATTTAATTAATTCACAATCTATCGCTGGATTTCTCTTCTTCTCTTCTCTCTATTTCCTGTTTTCCTTTTATACATATGTAGGCCATAAACCTTAGTTTATGTTATATGTTTCTCAAGTTTTTCTTTGTTTGAACAACGTTATCTATAATTGTGTTTGATGAAATTTCTTATTTCTATTATAACTTATAGATTTCAGAAAGGAAGATGTGAAAGTTACACTTAAACATCCAGTTGGTGAGGGGGAACATTTTATTATATCAGTGACCGCAGAATCTCCAATACGTCTTTGCAAGAAATTTGAAATTCCAAATGATTATGAACTGGGAAATTTGCGTGCAGAATTATCTTGTGGTAGTCTCATTCTAGAGCTACCTAAGAAAGCTGCTTCAAATAAGCTCGAAATTTTAAAGCCGAAATTAGAAATAAGAAAAGCTTTGCAGGAATCAGCCGAAGACATGCAAAAGAATTTCTTTGCTGCGGTTGAATATTTCTGTTCAAAGAAACAAGTTGCAGCATTTAGTTTTATGGTGCTGGCTAGTGGTCTATTTGCATACAAATATTATACTGAATGTTAATAGTGTTAAGAACTAAAATCCCACCAGCTTGTTTCCTCTTTTAAAATTGTTAATGTTGATGTCGATGAGAGTCAAAACTAATGGAAATCTACATTATTCATTTTTTTATTACTTTATTTATGGCCTTATTTTAGCTTTATTAATTTCTGTTCTATTTTCATTTAGCTTTTCTGTGGAAATTTTACATCAAAATCAAACCAGTTTTTTTTTTGGCATCAACATATGTACTTATGCAGTAGTTTTTATGAGTTTTCTCATAAAATTTAATTATTAGGCCCTTTCTACCATATTTGTTATAAGCTCAATAAATTAGCATGTGACACATGAGTACGTATAGGTTCATCCTCGATCAATTTTAATAATGTGTTTTATCTTAATTTTTCAGACTTAGAATTGATGCGATAAGAATGACCTATTTGATAATTTTTCATTTTTTGTTTAATTTCTTAGTTACAGTAATAAGGCATTTCCATAAAGAAATAAATTCTCAAAAGTGAATTGCAACTAATACAAGTCCAAAATTGTAGAATCAAATAACAAGGCGCCCTTGTATTATTAATTTGCATTCAGTGGTAAACAATAATATTAGAACTCAGAAATAACTAGTATTTGTTGGAATAAGTTGCATCCATAGCTCCCAAAGTATATATGCGGATCAAGTCCATGGATAGGGAGATGGAGCCGGTGGCCAAGGTGTGCTAGGAGCTGGTGTTGAAGGTGAAGATGGAACCGGTGTCCAAGGTTGAGGAGCTGGTGCCCAAGGTTGAGGAGTTGGTGCCCAAGTTTCAGTTGTTGTGGCGGGCACTGAAGGTGTAGTTGGTGCCCAAGGTTCAGGTGTTGGTGCTGTAGGGGAAGATGGAGCTGGGGCGGGTGCCCAGCCATATGGATATTGGACAGTGATGGTAAGCTTTTGGCCATAGGCAGCACAATGGTTGCTAACACCACAGATATACCACTTTCTTCCTGGGGTCGTAAGTACTATCGTGTCATTTCCGGAGGTGAGGGCTTCGTTTTCCGGCGGAATGTCACAATTCTTGAAGGCAGTACCATTTACTTTGAATACATTGTGATATCCTTGAGGGTATTGGAACACTGCAAAATTGAGGTGGGAAAAGAATCATGGGATTTGGGTTAATCTATAACTGAAAACCCAACGAAGAAAAGAAAGGGAAGTAAATGAACTTTTAAAGTAGTCTTCTTGTTTGCAATTTACATTTGAATTAAGAAATAACACAAAAGATTAAATTAATAGAAATAAATCTATTTTAACATAATCATAAAATCAATAAGCCATATAATTGATATATATATATATATATATAAAGTTAAAGATTAAAATTGATTATAATTTTTAACAATTTAAACTTTTATATTAAAGGGGTTTTTTTTTATTTAGTTGATATTTCTGTAAAAAATAAATGCAACACTAATATATATGTATAAGGAAATGAAGAAACTTTTCTCTTCAAAGTTCAAACTAAGATATATGAAAATTAACTTGATGCATATACCTAATTTATCACCAACTTGAAATACTTTATCCTTTGCCCAAGCTTGATAATCGAAATTGATTGTCCATCCGCTGTCATCTCCGACAATATAATCTGTTGCCATGGCGATTGTGGGAAGAAACATGGCAACAATGGTGAGCATGAGGAACATGTTTGAAGCCATTTGAAGCTTCACAAGAGATTTTCTCAAATCTTAATGCTAAGCTCGGGTTATTTGTGATTCTTGATTGAATTTGGTTTGGCTAATTAGCTGCAATCAAGGGCCTATTTATAGTTTGATTCTCTAGCTAGGAAAATTTCATGAACAATGTAAGGAACCGGCAAGGATCAGCATTATAACTTTGGGACTGCCAAATAATGTTTTCATACAAGTTAGAGGATCCTTATGAACTAATTGAGAATATGATGCTATTAATTTGTTTGTTTCCTTAAGGTTAAAGAGTAATAATCTTGAAAGGAAAAGTCCAAAGCGCAGGCCTACATGATTATCAAAAAAGAAGAAGAAAAGTTAAAGACACATGTCACAACATAGAACATGCCTGCTGTACCTGATTATACTAGTATTTTTTTTTCTTTTTGGATCCATTTTTATATATGGTATTTTTAGAGATTTTCAACATTGATTGTTGTCTAGATTGAAGCAGACTTTAGGAAGAAAACTTTTTGTCTGGTCCAAATGGAAAATTCCTTCACCCGACTTCATTGTTTTCTCAAAAAAGAGATAAGTATATCTCATAGTATTATTTTAATGCAAAAAATAACTTAAATGAAGCTTTTTTAAGTTAAATTCGTGAAATTCTTTATTAAAAATGTTAAATTAGAACAGTTGAATATGGAAATAATAACTGATAAGTTGATAAGAAAGAATTTTTTTTTTCAATAATTGGTCAATGCCATTTCTTTGCCTAACTATGATTTCAAGTCCGAGAAGATACATGATTAGGTGATCTAACATTACAAAGATTGAAGCTCAATTTGGATTTTAAATTACCGAGTCAGATCAAATTGGGTTGTGGATTGCAATGTGTTGACTTCTTTTAGTAGATTGTGATGTATGTGTGATGCCATACAACTTCATGATGGATTTGGATTTTAGATCAATTAGATTGAGCAAGAACTTTTAGTAGGTGCACAGGTTAAAGTTTGTTTCACTAGATTAATTATTTGTTTCTATACTTTGAAAAATTGATATAATTATTATGTGGAATTTGAAAACTCTAATGTTGATGTATAAAATAAAAATAAAATTTAAAATTTTAAATGCCTTTGGTTGACTCATATTTAAAAAAAAAACGAATTTATTAACTCAACACAAACTGCGTGACATAACAAGTCTTAAATTTTAAAAATAAAAGACTTGTAATAACTTATCAAATTAAGACATGGAGGAAGATAACAGTACAATTACAAAAAAATTCTACCACTCCTACAGATAAAGGTGATTCTACTTCAACGATGAGTTCCCAATAAAAAAAAGGACTAATCTTCCCAACTTTGAAAAAAAAAAAATTATGGTTGAGTCATCATTAACTTATCAGCTACAAAACAAAGGTTTAGTATGTAATTTTGTGCTGAAGTATTTAACCAATAATTAACTATTAGGGATAATTAGAATCCTAACCCACGCATGCAAGAGTCTTTCCTTTTCCTATTTTTCTTATGCTCTCTTTCTTAGTGTAGGAGTGGACATGTAATTTGTAGGTAAGGTTAAAATTAAAAATCTATTGTAACATTCGTATAGATCGTTGTATTATTGAAATTGTTAAGATGATTATATAAACTATTTAGTTAGAGATATTATATAATATTATAATCTAGTTAGACTATAATATCTTATTAAAACTATATTATGATATTATTAATTTTAAATTTCTCAATACATATTTTAAGTTTTTTTATAATTTATATAATTCTATATTATACAAGATTTTCTCTTCGTGTATGTATAGTTTCATCCTTTAATAATAATTTTCATATCACATTAATGAGAGTATGTCCCCATATATGCTGACTTGACAACTGTTAATTGCGGCTTTACTAGTAATGATGCATTTTTAGAAAGAAATAAATACTTAAAAAGTGAATTGCAGCTAAGCCAAGTCTAAAATTGTAAAATCGAATAACACGGCACGCTTGTATTATTATTTTGTGATCAATGGTTAAGAATAATATCAGACTCAGAAGTACACATAAACTTAAAAACAATAAAGAGTATTATTTTCAGGAAATAACGAGTAAATGTTGCCGCGCTGAAAATTATTGGAATAAATTGCTTCCATATCTCCCAGATTATGGGGATCAAATCCATGGATAGGGAGATGGAGCCGGTGGCCAAGGTGCCGTAGGTGCTGGTGTTGAAGGTGAAGATGGAGCTGGTGCCCGAGGTTCAGTTAGTGTGGCTGGCTCTGAAGGTGAAATTGGTGCCCAAGGTTCAGGAGTTGGTGCCCAAGGGGAAGATGGAGCCGGGGCGGGTGCCCAGCCATATGAATATTGGTCAGTGATGACAAGCTTTTGGCCATGGGCAGCACAATGGCTGCTGACACCACAGATAAGCCACTTTCTTCCTGGGGTCATAAGGACTATTGTGTCATTCCCGAGGTGAGGGCTTCGTTTTCCGGTGGAATGTCACAATTCTTGAAGGCGGTACCATTTACTTCGAACACATTGTGATATCCTTGAGGGTATTGGAACACTGAAAAATTGACGTCGGAAAATAATCATGGGATTTGACTTAATCTATAAATGAAAACGCAAAGCAGAAAAGAAAGAGAAGTAAATGAACTTTTAAAGTAGCTCTTTTGGCTGCTAATTGCGATTTTACATCTGAGATAAAAAAAAACCTCAAAAGATTAAGATAATAAAAACGAATTTAATTAGGTAAATTTAGCATACTCAAATGATTTATAGGCATATTATATTATATATATGTATATAAAGTTAAAGATTAAATTTGATTGTAGTTTTTAATAGTTCAATCTTTTATATTAAAGAGTTTTTTTGTAAAAAACAAAAAATTAGTGGACATTTCTGTAAGAAATGAATGCGATACTAATATGTACAAGGAAATGAAGAAACTTTTTGATGTCAATAGTTTGCTTCGTCTTCAAAGTTCAAACTAGAATATATGAAAAATAACTAGAATATACCTGATTTATCAACAACTTGAAATACTTGTCCTTTGCCCATGCTTGATAATCGAAATTAATTGTTCATCCCGTCATCTCCGATGATATAATCTGTTGCCATGGCTATTGTGGGAAGAAACATGGCAACAATGGTGAGCATGAGAAACATGTTTGGAGCCATGTGAAGCTTAACAAGGGATTTTCTTCAAATATTTATGCTAAGCTTGGGTTATGTCTGATTCTTGAATGAATCTGGTTTGGCTAATTTGCTGCTATCAAGGGCCTATTTATAGTTTGATGCTCTAGCTAGGAAAATTTCATGAGCATTGTAAGGAATCGGCAAGTGTCAGCAGTGTAACTTTGGGTTGTACATAGGACTGCCAAATAATGTTTCCTTATAAGTTGGAGGACGTTTCTGAACAAATTGAGAATATGATAATATTTGTATGTTTCCTGAAGATACTTAAAGAGTAATAATCTTGAATGGAGAAGTCCAAAATGCAAGCCTACATGATTTTCGAATATGAAAAATAAAAATTAAAGACACATGTCAAAACCTAGAACATGCCTGCAGTACTTGATTATACTAGTATTCTTTCCTTTTTGGATTTTTTTAATTATGATTTTTCACGCAGAACAACCTCTCAAAGGGAGTTATAGCCCCGTTTGGTGCTGTCCGCGACTCTATCATACAAGGGTAGTTTTTTTGTGCAATTATCTAGAGGAATGAAATCACTTTAATTTTTTTTTAAAAAAATTCATGATCAATTTGGATTTTAGATCAATTAGATTGAGTAAGTAGTTTCATGAGCTAAGTTTTTTTTATTTAAAGAAATTAATATAATTATTAATAAGTAGGTATCAATTATATAAATTTGGCATAATATTCAAATAAGTCATTAAACTATTCAAGAATATTCAAATAAGCTTTTATTCTTTTATTGTGTTTAATCAATCTCTTGTACTTTTATTTTGAGTCAAATAAGTTCTTATAACTAATGATTGACTAAATGTTATTCATGAAAATGTCACTTGTCATTTTATATCTACATAGCATTGATATGAAATTGACGTAAATGGTAAAAAATACTATATGATTATATTATCATGTTATATCATTATCAATTATGATATATTAGCAATCCACATCATAATCAGTTATAATATTTTAGCATACCACATTAGTCTAATGCAACATAAAATAACAAGTAATATTTTGACAAAGTCAATTATTAGTTATAAAAGCTTACTTAACTTAAAATAAAAAATACAAGAGTTTACTCGGTTTAAAATAAAAGCACAAAGGCTTGATTGAATGTAATAAAAGTGTAAGGGTTTTTTTGAATTTTATTAAATAGTTTAAGATTTTTTTTGTATATTATACATATAAATTTTTTATAATGTTGATATATAGAATAATAATCTTTTCAAAAAGTTTTGTATAAAATAATTATTAATTTTTAGTTTAGTTTCTAGAATGTCTGTTGACTTGTTAACTCATCATTAACTTTCACCACAGCAATAGTCATTTTGTAATTATAAGGTTTATGATGAAGAACAGGCCAGTTATTATATGCTAACAAAAGTCTTTTACAAATCATATAAGTTCAGTTGACATAAAACTCTAATGCCAATGAAATTTACTTTTCAAAAAAAAAAAAACTTATCATTAACTTGTTTTTGGATAAAACCCAAATTTATTGATAATCACCCTAACATCGAAATTGCACAACCAAACCGGAATGATGAATATAGGTATGTTTTAATCCGTAATCAAACCGAGAAGTTTTTAAGGAATTAGCCAAAGATGTGCAAAATAATATTTTTCTACTGTTGAATATTCCTCTTTAAAGCTAAAAAAAAACCTTCCACATAAGCCATGGACTGTCATCCGTTTTAATATCTATGAAATAACAACACAAGAATCAAATTCAATCACCAAAGATTTTAACCTCACCCAAAAGGAGAAAGCATAAAAATGTAAATCATTTTTTATTGCCAAGACTTCATTGTTATTATCGTCTGGAAGAACATTCCCACAACTTCTGGAATCAAGTTTACCTCTTGTGGAACCATCTATGTTAAATTGTCATTCATTATGACTCGGAGGTATTCATGAAATTCCTCTTCTTGGTTCTTTTGTTAATTGTTGTCTTGTGTGCATCCAAGGCATTGCCTACCACCCAATTTCATCAATGGTTTCCTCTTTTTCAATTGCATTTGATCCAAAATTTTGCTTTCATTTTAATCATAAAAACCATATCCTTTTTCATCCACTTCTTTGAGTTGAAAATTAAATCATTACGTGCTAGCCATATGCACCACATAGTGGCTTATACCACTGACATCCATCTTCTTTGTATAGAGAGTTGTTCACCATAAGACTGTCACAAAATTTAAACCTAGAGAAGATGGATCCAGTTCCTGTGTATCTTCATCTAGATTTTTGTGGAAATTGTACATCAAAATCAAACCAGTTTCTTCTTGGCATCAACATACGCACTTACGTGACAGTACAGATGGGTTTGCTTATAAAATAGAATTATTAGGCCCTTGTTACCAAGTTAATCATAAACTCGACAAATTAAGATGCATTATGTAATTAAAAATTATCACATGATCATGTATAAGTTCATTCTTCAATAATAATTGTCATATCACATTAATCATAAACTTGGACTAGTATATAATGACATGATAATTTTTAATTATGCCTCACATTTTAATTTTCAAAATTTTCAGACTTATAATTGATGTAATAAGAATGACTTATCTGACAATTTTTCATTTTCCGATTAATTCTCTTAGTTTAGTAAGGATGTGCAGAAAGAAAGAAATATTCCAAAGTGAATTGCAGCCAAGCCAAATCCAAAATTGTAGAATCAAATAATAAGGCACCATTGTGTTATTTATTTTGTAATCAATGGTAAAGAACAATATCAGACTCCGAAGTACAAATAAACTTAAAAGCAATAAAGAGTATTATCTTTAGGAAATGACGAGTAAATGCTAATGCCACGCTCAAAATTATTGGATTAAATTGCTTCAATAGCTTTCAAAGCGTGCTGTTCAAATCCATGGATAGGGAGATGGAGCCGGTGGCCAAGGTGCAGTAGGGGCAGGTGGAGATGGAGTCGGTGACCAAGGTTGAGGAGCTGGTGCCCAATGCTGAGTTGGTGTGGCTGGCACTGGAGGTGTAGCTGGTGGCCAAGATCCAGGAGTTGGTGCCCATGGGGAAGATGGAGCAGGCGCGGGTGGAGAGCCATATGAATATTGGACAGTGATGGCAAGCTTCTGGTTATAGGCGGCACAATGGTCACTAACGCCACAGATATACCACTTTCTTCCTGGAGTCTTAAGGACTATTGTATCATTCCCGGAGGTGAGAGCTTCGTCAGCCGGTGGAATGTCACAGTTCTTGAAAGCGGTACCATTTACTTTGAACACATTGTGATATCCTTGAGGGTATTGGAATACTGCAAAATTGAGATGGGAAAAAAATCATGACAATTGGCTTCAATCTATGAAAGAAAAGTAAATGAATCTTTTAAAGTCGTCTTCTTATTTACGATTCTACATCTGAATTAAAAATTAATTCAAAATTTTAAACTAATAAAAACGAATCTAATTATGTAAGTTTAGTATACTCATATAATCTATAAGAAATATAATTTATATATATATATATATATATAAAGGTAAAGATTAAAATTGATTACAATTTTTAACAGTTTAAACTTTTAGATTAGAGGACTTTTTTAGTGGACATTTCTATAAGAAATGAATGCACTATTAATATATCTGTGTAAGCAAATGGGGAAACATATTTTAATGTCAATAATTACTTCCTCTTCAAAGTTCAAACTAGGATCTATGAAAATTAACTTGATATATATACCTAATTTATCGCCAACCCAAAATACTTTATCCTTTGCCCAAGCTTGATAATCGAAATTGATCGTCCAGCCGTTGTCATCTCCGACGATGTAATCTGTTGCCATGGTGATTGCGGGAAGAAATATGGCAACAATGGTGAGCAAGATAAACTTGTTTGAAGCCATTAATTTGAAGCTTAACAAGAGATCTTCTCAAATCTTAATGCTAAGCTCAGGCTATGTCTGATTCTTGACTGAATCTAGTTTGGCTAATTAGTTGCAATTAAGGACGTATTTATAGTTTGGTTCACTAGCTTGTAAAATTTCATGAAAATTGTAAGGAACCGGCAAGGTGCCAGCATTATAACTTTGGGTTATGCGTAGGACTGCCAAGTGATGTTTTCTTATAAGTTATAGGACGCTATCGAACAAATCGAGAATATGATAATATTTGTTTGTTTCCTTAAGAAACTTAAAAATGAGGAATAATCTTGAATGGAAAAGTCCAAAACGCAGGCCTACCTGATTTCTAAAAGAAAATTAATTATCATTGACACATGTCACAACCTAGAAGGTGCCTGCAGTACTTGATTATACTAGTATTGTTGTTTCCCTTTTAGACCTTTTTAAATATGGTTTTGAAGAGATTTTCACTGTTGATTGCCGTCTAATTAAAGCAGGCTATTGGAAACAAAACTTTTTGTCTGGTCAAAAAGGAAAATTCCTTCACCTCAGCTTCTTTGCTTTCCCACAAAAAGAGACCTAGGATCCCCTAAGTGTAATCTAATAGTATTATTTTAATACAAAAATACTTATATGAAGCTTTTTTAAGTAAAATTCGTGAAATTTTAAACTAAAATTTTAGATTAAAACAATTGAATATGAAAATTAAAACTGATAAGAAAAGTGATTAGTTGATGTACCGTTTCAAAGATTTAAACTGATTTTGGATTTTAAATCATGTGTTAAAGTTCAAGGTCAATTTAGGTTTTGGATCAAATTAGATTGAGTGAGAAATTTTAGCAAGTTCCTGAGCTAAGTTTGTTTCCATAGATTAGTTAATTTTTTTTCTTTATTTTCATTTAATGATAAATAAAAAATTAAATTTTAATTCAATTAGAAATTCAATTCCCATTCTCTTAATTACAAAATTAAAAAAATGATAAATAAAAAAATTAAATTTCAATTCAATTAGAAATTCAATCCCCAATGATAAATAAAAAAATTAAATTTCAATTCAATTAGAAATTAATTCAATTCCCATCTGTGATTAAATAAATAAAAAAAATAAATAATTAATTAATTTTTTTAAAAAAAATTCAATTCAATTTGAAATCAATTCAATTCTCACTTGTAATTAGAAATTAATTCAATTCGCATTTTTAATTAAATAAAAAACAAATAATAAAAAAATCAATTTAATAAAAATAAATTCCCATTTGTAGTTAAATAAAAAACATTAAATTTCAATTCAATTAAAAATTAATTCAATTATCATTTGTAATTAAAAAAACAAACAAAAACTGACTACTGTGGCATTTGAACCCACGCCTTTCGGACCAGAGCCTAAATCTGACGCCTAAGACCCCTTGACCAAACTGCCACAAATGCAGAGTGAGTCTTCAGTTTTGACTAAGTGTCTTCTAAAACTGTTTATTATGATTCAAGATTCTACAAGCATTAGTATCAATTTTTTTTTTAAAAAAAGTTAAAATTTTGACTGCAATATGTAAAATCAATGTCAAACTATTAATACATAGCAATTGAATTGGTTTGGACTGGTTTGGTTAAATGTTCAAATTGAGGTAAAACGTTTAAGTATTTTTTCAATTAAGAATCAAAAGTTTCAATTATAATAATTAAAGGTCAAACGTTTTTAATTTTTTACAATTAAAAATTAAAATGAGAGGTGTTTTACGCATGGAAGACACGCACATGACGTGAATTATCAAATCTTTTTGTCAGAAACTCTTTTTTATTAAGTTAAAACGGTTCAAATTATATTATGACATATAACAACTCTTTATTAAGATATCTAATAATTAAATTTTTCAACATAACGTATAATAATTATATTTTTTAATATAATATATAATAATTATATATATATTATAATATGTAATACTTGTATTTTTAACGTCAGGTGTAATAAAACGAGAAACAAGAATGGCATGAAAGAAAGAAAAAAAATTGTGTTCTAGGCGAGTGTGCCCTCCACATGAACCAAGTGATTGCATGAACCAAGGGTGACGTGTAATAAACTGGAGAAACCATTAAAAAGCAATTGGAACAAAGACTGTTTCTTCTTGAGGCCCACTTTCTCCAGATTTTGAAGTTGGTTGCTGCATGCTCATGCTCATGCTCTGAATGACAGGTCCATGAAATGTATGGTGCCAAAAATGCATCAGCCTATTCTTATGACCACCAAGTTTTGCCTTCCAAGTCATTCGTTTTTTCTCTTTGCCATCAAAGCCCTGATTTCGGATACCTGTTTTTCAATTTTTACAATGTGAACTTTAGTATAAGTTTGCTTTTGCATTAAAAAAATATTGGCTATTGATCTTAATCTTCGTATTTGGAACTTTAAATTGAGATTTTGGAGCTGTTAAGGTAGAAAAATGGTAACGTTAAGCTTAATGATAGCTGGAAATTTAGAATGTTTGAACTGTTTAAGGGATTTGATGCTTGAATGTCAAGCATAAATTGTGATTTAAAGCTGTTAGTTGAAAGTGTAGCAAATAATTCTACAACTTCGAATACTAAAAGAAAAAAAAGTTAAAGAAGCTGTGTTTTGTATTACATGCTAGGAAAGCCCAAGAAGATTTATTTGGGAAAATCACCTATGTGTACTTGGAAGTTTCAAGAAAAATATATTGAAGCTTAAGGAATGCTTTGTTTTTCTACCCATGAATTCCCAATCCCTACCTTTTTTAAAAAATTGACATATAATAATTAAAATTTTAAAATATGACCTATAATAATATATTTTTCAAAGCTGTTATATCATCAATTCATAAAATTTATTGTAGCGTATCTTATACGTTTTATTAATCTGTCAATTTAATTTTTAATTATAAAAAATAAAAAATATTTGATTTTTAATTATTACAATTGAAACATTTAACCTTTAATTAAAAAAATTATTTAAACGTTTAGTTTCAATTTGAACATTTAGCCGACTGATTTTATATCTCTTCTTATATAATCTTGCATCACTATCATTTTATAAGATAATCTTTTTTGTAAATTTTTCTATTAATGAAAATATTTCATCTGCTTCCAAAAGAAAAATGTCAAATTATTTTTTTTCTTGAAAGGTGTATTTATTGGCATTAAGCTGACAAGCCGTTCACAATCTCTGGCTAATTACTAAAGTCAAATTACCCAACAGAACACCTCAATCCCAAAATCCAAAGCCATTATACAAAAGAAAACCAAAGCTAGCTCTTAGGCAAAATTGGAGGTTGAGCCGAAGAGAAAACTGAAGATTCCAATCCGAAGCTAGATCAAAATCGACGACTACAATCCCCCCAAGCACGGCTCCTCGAAAGACTGAAAGACAGGAGAGGAACCCGAGGAAGAGCGAAAGAAGCGAACAAGATGACCAGCAGCAAACACGCGATCAACAGAACCTCCCATCTCTAACCTTGTAGGCAGACCAAGGTGAAGGAGAAAGACTTAACCCCCAACCTTCAAGAGCCCAAAAGAGTCAAGTGGGGCGTTCCAATGCCAGAAGCCGAATCTCAAACACAAGAGGGCATCTCCCTTCACATGCCACCCTCCATGACAGAAGGGAATGACCATCACCCAACCGCCAAGCTCCAGGAGACAAAAACAGAGATATCCCCCCAACCCCCAAAAAAGATCACGCGGACAACACCTTTCCGCACACACAGCCCACCTCCCTCCTGCGCCTCACCACCCTCAGCACAAAGCCCCCCAATTTCATAAAGCAAAACCACGAACATGCAAGCCACCACGAAGCCCAAGACAGCTCAAAAGCCGGAGGGACCTTCCTATAGCACCAAGACTAATCGAGTGATATCCATTTCTTATAAATTGATGCAAATATCTTAAATTTATTGATAAGATGTCAAAACATTGGTACAAATTAAATTAAAAATGACTTTAATTGAACATACAGTTGTAAAAAAAACTCCTCCATGCTTCAAACTGCTAAGCATTTATTTTAGGAGAAAATAAGGAAACAATAGCCATAAATTACAATTCCAGTCCCTCCCTTACACAACATTAATATGCTTAATCTCCAAAATAATTTCAGTATTTAACCATGAGCGTGGCGACAATGGCGAATATTATCCCTAAAAGGACCTGGAAGATGGCGTCCTTGGAACATAAAGTTGCAGCAGAGCTTGGAGCAGGAGCAGGGGCAGAGACAGAGGACAGCACAGTTATCTTTAACTTCATTCCTTTGTCGCAGTGGCCGGTTATTCCACAAATGTACCATTTATTTCCTGCGGCTGACAACTTAATTGAGTCATTTCCAGTGAAAGAGCCTAAGCTATTGTTCGTTGGAACAGTGCAGTTCTGAAAGTCAGTTCCATTCACTTTGTATACATTGTGAGCTCCGACCTTGTATTTGAAAACTGCAAACAAGAAAACCAACTTCTCATTCAGTCTCTCTCTCACGCTTTTGGCAGTCAAGCTATATATATATATATATATATATATATATATATGTCCATTCCTTGCTAGCAATAAGAAAAACAGTAGGGGGAGATTGAATTAGTACTGTTACCTAGAGTGTCTCCGATTACGAATTGCTTGTCTTTAGCCCACTGTTGGTAGTCGACTCCTAGCTTCCATCCTTCATCACCACCAACTATGAACTCCTCAGCAAATGTGATTGCTGGAGCAATGGCAGCAACAAGTGCAAAAATAACAAAGGAACGATGAACAGCCATGAGAATTTATATTGAAAAGAGTATAAGGAGATTTAGTTGGTTTGCCTTAAGGTTGTTCTTTTGGTATTGAAGGCCTGACTTGAAGCATGCCTTAAAGCCAGTACTTATAGTGTTAAGGTAAGTGTTGGTTTCGAAAGGCTACAAGATTAAAGTTAAAAAGTCGAAGGTTTTTTTGGTTTTTAAAAGGAAAACTTTAATTCAAGGACGGTATTGCCGCATAAGGGACAATAAGTAGATTTGTAGGGTAAATTTTCATTGGATCATCTATGAATTCCGGAGATGATTACAATAGGTTATTAGAAAGAGCTGAAAGGCCATGAACCTTCATTGATAATATCTCAAAGCAGTGTGACAGGTTATACTTTATTAAAACCCATTTGGCCTGTTAATTTTTTTTGGTTGAATTGAGAGAAGGGGATTTGAATGTTACTCTTTTAAGTAGGAAAATCATACATTAATTATTGAATCAAACTTTTGGATGCCTGTTAATGCTTTTGTTAATTACTTTTTATTTTTTAGAAATTTGATATGAAGTAAAAGCAAAAGGTAATTAAGAGTAAAATCATAGTTGATAAAAAAATACAGAATAATGGAGTCAAGCAATTTTGGTTCTATGCGTTTTGTAGTTACCTGTCTGCCGTTGACGACCTGTGGATGCTTTGATAGAGTCAAAGTAATTGGCAATTCCCTCGAAGATAGTGTTCATGGAATTTGGCAAGCATTGATTATAGTTGCAGCTTTGTGAAGTACATCCAGTGCCAAAAGAATTTATCGAAATCTCTTAGCAGATTGAAAGCAATCAAAGCTTTTTTTAATGGTATTTTAATTTAAAATATGTTGTTTGCTTTGAGGTTTAGTCTTAATTTATGGAGTTAAAAGGAATTAAATTACGATCCTTCACGAAAACTTATGGGGTTTAGTTGAAAATATCCCCTTCCACATGTTGCACACCTAACACCATTGAAGGAAAGGAAAAATTCATCTATTTTTCAAAAGGGACCATAAAGGAAAACCATTTCGTAAGGGCTTTTCATTTTCAATTTTCATGAAGACAAGTAAGAGACGTGACAGAAATTGATTATATCTATTATCAAGGAAATTATCGAACTTTTCTTTTGTGATGGGTAATTCCTTATTACAAATAATCGTGGATACTTGCATAATCACAATTTAGATTGGATAAATTAATGTAGCATTTATTCCAGAGAGAGACAGAAAGGTCCCTGCATTTATTACTGTACTTAGGAAATTACGAAGGACACATTCGAAAACGTTATTTAGAACATAACGATCAAACTAGACTGGAGATTTTTGCAGCCAGTTGTTCACATTTGTGTACAGTTCCATCACCCAATAGTTATTAGCACGTCCAACAAGTTTCAAAGCAGGGGTGGAATTAGTCTATTTTTATTTAAGGGGTCAAAGATTAAAAAGAACAAAAGTTAAAAATTTTTAAAATTAATATATTGAACTTAACAATTAGTAATTAAAAGATTTATAATAGATAATAATTTTATATGATATGTAAATCAAAAAAAATAAAAAGAAAAAAATTTATAATAGTGCTCTAGGAAAGTTTGTTCGATGATGGTAATATCTTTTTAATATAAACAACTAAATTATTTATAAGAAACTTATCATTCATTTTATTTCAAAATCTTGTCTTTCTTAATATAATTGACCAAAAAATTAATGTAGTCAACATCTAATAATTTTACTTTATTATATTTAAGTTTATAATATTAAATATTAAACTATAATGCATAAAATATAAATAGTTAAATACGATATACAGAATTAATAATTTCTTCTTATACTCAAGATAATTTCCTTTTAACTAAATATAAAATGTAAAACATATTAAAAACATATACTCAAGATAATTTTTTCTTATATAATTAGGATTAATAAAAAATAATATATTAGTGAAATTTTAAACAACAACGAATAATGCAACACTAAAACTTATGTGTGAAAATTACATATACAATAATTTTTTAATTTTTTAAAAATTAAAATTCTTAAAAATAAAATTCACATAGTAGAAAAAAAATCATGACAAGTAAGAGATATAATCTACATAACAAAAAAAACATATGGCTAATGATTCGTAAAAATTTAAAAAAGAAAATCTATAGAAACTTAAAATATATGAGCAAATAGAATATAATTAAAAAAATAAATAATAATAATATAAATAGAAAAAATTAAATAAAAACTTTACTTTTTTATAATTTTACAATAAGGACAAAAAAAAAAAAGAAAGATGGGTGGAGAAACTTAAAAAATAAAGAAAAAAATTAAGAATTTGAATAGAATTAAATGGAGTTTGTAAAATCATTTTATTATTTTTTAATAAAATATTATTTTAAAAAATAATTAAAAAATATAATATATAAAAAATTTTAAAATTTTTGAAAAAGACCATTACAAAAGGACGCTCCGCCCCTGTTTCAAAGTTGGGAATCCAGCTTCTCTTGCCAACGTCTCAAACTCTTTCTTTGTTCTCTCCTTTGCACCAGGGGAGCATTTGAACCAAGCTCAAGTCAAAGTTAAGTGTTGTGGTTGTCACGAGGTCAGTCATGGGCAGTTCTGGCACTATAGATTCCAGTAATATCACTTAGCCAGACTCTGGTATTGCATCACAACAATTTTTCGATAACTTCAAGCACTGATCATCACCCCAATCGTGAAGCACGTACAACAAAATTTTTTTTTACAGAAGAATAGTTTGTATAGAAATTGTAGTAATGATTTTAATGGTTTCATAACAAAGAAAATATTGATGCTAACCTTCATGAAAATAACTTCTTTGTGAGGAACTTGGGCGAACATATCTCCTCCTATGTGCTCCACACCTAACATAAAGGAAAAGAATATCAACATTTACAAATTCAACAAGCAAGGGCGGAGTTATAGCATTTTCAAAAGGGAAGTCAAATAGAAAAAGATATTGAGGACTTTATATATAATTCAATTATGACTCATTTAAAAAATTAAATAAAATTCAAAAGATATTAAAACATGCAAAAAAATACACATTAATAGTAATGATGGTGTCATTTATATATATGATTGAATGAAACTATAAAAGGAGTCTCTCTCATTCTTTGCACACAAGAATGAAAGAGAAAACAATTTTTCAAACTTAAATGAATTACCTCTTTACTTTGTGTGTCTTAACTCTCCTTTTATTTTCTATTTGTCTCTTAAATTGCTAATTAATATATTGGGTTATTGGATTGAATTATTGAGATATAATATGTTAGGATAGGCTATTAGGTTGAACTTTTAAGATATAATATGTTATGATAGGCTTAGATTTATATTAAACTTTAATGGATTTGGATTAATAAACTCACTTTTATTTTTTTGTAAATTTGATTGGCTTAACATAGTAGTTTATAATTTATTTGTTTGGCTTAACTAGCAATATGCTAACCATAATGACTCTAATTTTATCAAACAGTTTGAAGAATAAAATTAATTATTAAATAAAAAATTCTTTTGAGAGTCATTAAAAATAAATATAATAAATAAAATTGTATTGAAAGAGATACAATTATTTCATTCTATCAATTTATATATATATATATATATCTCTGTTATTTAAAGTTTGCAACAAACATGCTAGAATACATTGATTTTTTTGAATAAAAAATAATATATTGATGAAATTCTGACCAATAGTGTAATACTGTAACTTATATTTGAGAATTACATAATAATTTATTTATTTTTAAATATTTAAATCATCGAAAATAAAAAGTATATTATAGAAAAAAGAAAAACTTAACAAGTAGAAGATACAATCCACATATGACATAATAAAAAAGAAAGAAATAAATATGATTAATGGTTCGCATAAATTTGTGAAAGAAAATATATAGAGATTTATAATATATGAGTAAATAGAAATAAATAATAATATAAATTAAAAAAAATTAAAATTGAGTCAAACATATGAAATTATTTAATTATTCTTTGTTTGTATCAATTATTAAATAAAAAATTATTTTAGGAAGACCATTAAGAAAATTTATAAAAAGATTAAAAAAATTTAAAAATTTTGGGGGACAAAGTTTAACAAAAAAATGGTTCTGCCAACACAAGGAAAAGGAAATTAGCTTCATTAGAGAAATTTATCAATAAATTTGAATGAATTTCTAGGATTACTTGGGAAATTGGGTGCATCTTTAACAACAAGAGGCAAATCAAAGTTAATACCCTTAATTTATGGATACTTGGAAACGATAAGCTTAAGAGTTGTTCCCAATCCACCACCCACATCTACCACTTGGTTAACGCCCTCTAAACTCTTGTAAATTTCTAGTACCTTTTTCATGACTATGGTAGTGTGGTTGGACATTGCTTGGTTGACAGTGTCGAAGACTTTATTATCTCTCGCAGACATCTCAAAGAAGTCCATCCCAAATCCCTGACAAATGATAAGCCACCTTCCAATGTTGCTTACTTGAAGAAGTTCCTAGACAGGTTGACAAGATATAAGATTTGAGATAAATGATTTCTTTTTTATTATTTAAAAGGAAGAGAGATTTAAACTTTGTTTTTTAAATCAGAAATATGCAATTAAATTAAATACTTGAATACAGAAACCACGAATATAAATATCATATATAATAGTTTCTATAAATATTCGAGGAAAAGTTGTAAGAAAAGGAGTAAAGGACTAACCTGTTTGATATTATCCTTGTGATGGTGATTCAAATAAGCGTTTGAAGAATGAAGAAACAGATAACATGAAGAAGGTGAGTATCTAGACTTGTAAGAAGAAAGGGAGAAGAAAGACCAAAACTCACCATTTAAATAGAGAGCAAAACTCAATACGCAGCGTTTTGTTTTGTTTTGTTTTAAAATTCAGTTAGGAAATAATCATTAGTTAGTTTGTTTGTGGTTAACTTTACTCTTCCTTCACTAATTGTATACCTGTACATATAAGTACCATGTAATACCTTGATTCTGTAATAAGAATATACAGAAACAAATTCTTAACCATTTGTACCGTCTCTTTCTTTTCCTCCATTTCTGAGGCTTCTGACATAACCAACACTCGATTGAAAGTTTATCAGGAGCCACGTTTAGTAATGGAATTTAAGAAATTCCATCTTCATTTTGAAGGAAGTATTTGCCAATTGAACCTATGCCACACAATCTTGTCATGTGTCCATCTTAATTTATCTGTGACACGATTGCATGCTAAAATAGAGTGAGCAGTAAGAACTCGAAGAGTACGATCAATTATAGTTAGAGCATCAGGGTTCTTAGTAGGAAGGTTCAAGACAATCTCAACAGGAGAAAGCAAACTACCTGGACCAGCTTTTGCTATGATCTCTAACAAATTAAGATCAATGGCAGTTTTCAAGGCAAAAAGAGCACTGCTGAGATAGCAAATTGAATGGCCTGCAAGAAATCCTCCTTTTCGTTTGATGTAAACTGTTGTTGGTTTGGCAGTGAAGTATTCATGATGTTAATTTCTTCAATCTGGATTTGTAGAGGTGTTTGTAAAAGGGTTTAGCTATGAAAGTATGGAATGACAAAGCACAAAAATAGCTTGGAGGGAAGTCAAACTCGAGACACATGGTGTTCGAATGAGATATACTATAGACACATACATACATATGTATATATATAAATATGATGAACATCAGGAATCATGCAGCATGCATCATTAATAAAAATTCCAGCTTGGGATACATTATAATGACTGATTCTTTCCTTGGATATGATCATTAAGTACTGTAAACACCTACCCAGGGACCCCAAATAAATTAATGGAAGATATATATAAATAAATAAATTACTTTAAAAAAATAAAAATAAAAATGAAAAAGGAAAACAGAGAAGGAAAAGATTGCATGTTTGCTCAGCCTCCCTTTCCCCCCAGTCAACTCACTTCAGGCTTATGGCCACTCTATGGTTTTCCAATTATCACCAATTGCACAGGGCATTTAACGCCCCTTGAACAGCCAAATTTGGGGAAGGAGGGCACCTCCGATTGCCTCCCCTGGCTTGCTTTCGCCTAGAGTCTTATAAAACTTCTAGTTTATGAATTTTAACATATTTATATTTTTTAATTATTATTATTTTAATTATAATATCACCTAGAAAAATTTTTAAATCCGTCTGTCAAGTTAGTGTGATATATAGGTGTCATCTAATATAAAATAATAAGTAATATTTTGATTAATAATAAATAATTATTTATTAATCATAAATATTTATATACTTCAAAGAGTTCTTCTTGTAAATAGGCCTCATGCATAAGGCGTTTCTGACAATAGATTTCTTCATAATTTTAACTATTTTTTGTCAAGATAATTAAAATTTAGATAAAATTATCTTTAATGAAATCGATCCATTTATTTGGTCCCGCGTCTTAACCCGAAACATATTAACAAGTCAAGTATGTTTAGATCTGCACTTCAAATAAACTCATATTCTTTGAGTTTTTCTTGTCAAACTATTCATCTTTGAAGTATTTCTTACCAGAAAGAAAAACGTTGAAGCATTTTAAGTTTTTTGGAGTAGTTTTTGATATACGAAAAAAACTTCTGAACATTTTGAGCATTTTTTGCCAAGTAGACATATTCGTTAATTATGTTGTAAAATAAAATATGGTGTATCATTTGAAGTTGTTGATCTTGTTAAATAAAATTTAGTAATTTTGATAGTTTTTGGGTATTACGTGACTAATTTTTAAGTATTGTGTGACTTACTTTGTACATTGCGTAACTGACTTTGAGCATTATATGACTTATTTTTAAGTATTGCATGAATAGTTGGTAGGCATTGTGTAACTTGTTAGTAAGCCATTACCTAACTAGTTAGTAAGACATTGCGTGACTAGTTAGCAAGGTATTGTGTGACTTAGACATTGCTTAAAAATCAATCAAGCAATGCCTAAAAACTAATCATGCAATGGTTATAACTAATCACGTAATGCCTAAAAACCAATAACGTAGTAATTAAGTCATGCAATACTTAAAATTCAATTTCGCAATACTTAAAATCCAGTCTAATCAATTTTAACTCCTCAACTTTGGGGTTTTATAGTTCTATGAATAAACCAATAAACTCCAAAACATAAAACACATATTTTTTTTTACTAAGCCTTGAAATTGTGCATTTTATAAAAGATAGGTTACAAAACTTCATAATCTTCAAAAGCAAGACAAAATATATCTCTATCAGGAGGGTTTTGCTCAATTCCCTTATGCAAAAACAAAATATACTCCTTTCACAAAATATTCTCTAAATAATTTCAACTCAAAATCTCTAACAAACATACTTATCAATCATCCCAATTCTATACACAACAAAATCGTGAACCATTATAAAACCTATCAAACATGCTTTAACTGTCCTTTCTCCTTGAGCCCTTGAAAACATCACCAGAAAGCATCTAGTTATCACATTCATCATGCTATCCGTAATCACCATAAAGAGCAAAATCATTGTCAAAAATTAGTTAAAAATAGTTAAAATTATAAAAAAAATATTTTTGAATTGGGTTTATAAGAAAAGTTATTTCTCACAATTTCCTCTACCTAAAAATATGTAAGATTTGATTAAATGTAATAAAAGAATAAAAACTTTTTTGAAATTTTCTAAATAGTAATTCCAACCAATAATTTTTTTAAGAAAAAATTGAAATTAATAAAAGAAAAATTATCCGATAAATAGTCTTTTGTATTCCTTGTGTGCAAAAGGAGTGGCTATTTCAAGTTTGACCAAAATGTCCTCCTTTGACTTGAATGGATGTTTCTTTTCAAAATATGAACCAAACATTTGAACCACGTGACCATGCGAAATGAGGTAGGAATGGAAATGGCCTTTTCAACCAACTAAACATGTCGTTGGTAATTTGTCCATCGTGAAGGGCAAAGAGGCGAGTGGCTATCTTACATTTGTCGTTAGTGTTTAAAGTTACACCATGATTTATCAGATATATATGTTTAAAAATTAAAATTGAGTTTCAAATGATTTCCTTAGTTGGCCAGGTCAATCTCTAAGTAAATATATTCTTACTCACTACATAGAAAAATATGGCATTTAGAATCATTTGTCACATTTGAAATTAAGATTTTTTTGATTAATACCTTAACAATTGATTTTATTGCACTCATTATTTATTTGCTTGAATAATTTGAAGCACATAGTTAATGTTTAATGTAATAATTTATTACCAATAAAATAGGAATGGAAATCTTATGCCTGAGTTTGTGCCTCTCTCTGCCCCACAAAATTAGATCTTACCATGCGCTAGATATAAAAAGTTTACTGTTTTTTTAATTATGCTGCATGGTAAGATTGTAATGGTGGGTAGAGAGGCGAGGTGCTATGGTCCTCGTGTGGACATGAATTTCATATCGTGCTCCCAGCAAGTAGAGTCACAAAGTCTCACATTGAAGAAAACCTCCTAACAGGGAATAAGAGAAGATGTCATGGTTTTAGAAAAAAGAGTTATGAATCTTACATCGACTATTTTCTAGAATGAAACTAAGCATATAAGGGTTCACACCACTTTTAACCTGTGAGGTGCCTTTTGTGGAACAAAATTATTAAGTCAATAGATCAAAGTGAACAATACTTCATAGGAGTTGGTGTGGATTGTGACACGAGGCATATTCTCCGGACAAGAAATTTTTGTTGATAAATTAAAATGAATAAGATGGTAGAAATTACAAATACTTGACTACGTTGCAATGTATGACAACAGAAAAGAAGTTTTCCTTCTTAAATATTTAACTAGATTGGAGCTAATGTTAATTAGTCAATATTTTACTAGAGTGGGGCTAATCTTAATTAGTCCCATTAAAATATTAGTACAATTAAAGGCAGCTAATGGTTACAAGGAAATTTTAGTTGATTATTCTGTCCAAACATCATTATAGAGGCTTTACTACTGAATTTAGGAAATTGCAAAGATTGCATTTCAAAGACTTTATTTAGAACATAACGATCCAGCCATATGCAACATCCCTGTTGATGAATTTACCAAACTAGACTGGAGATTATTGTAGTGATTTGTTCACAGTTTTGACAATTCTATCACCCAATAGTTATAAGCACGACAAACAAGTTTCAAAGTTGAGAATCCAGCGTCCCTTGCCAATGTCTCAAGCTCTTTCTTTGTTCTCTCCTTTGCACCAGGGAGCAGGTGAGCCAAGCCCAAGTCCAAGTTAAGTGTTGTTGTTGGCAGAAGAGCAGTCATGGGCAGTTCTGGCAATATGGATTCCAATATTATCACTTTGCCAGACTCTGGTGTTGCATCATAACAATTTTTCGGTAACTTCAAGCATTGATCATCACCCATTGGTGAAGCAACCACTACAAAATTTTACAAAAAAAAAAAAACTGGTTGTTAGTTTACGTAGAAATTGTACTTATAGGTCGTGGTGGTATTGATTTTAATGGTTTCAAATTTCATACCAAAGAAAATATTGATGCTAACCTTCATGAAAATAACTTCTCGATGAGAAATTTGGGTGAACATATCTCCTCTTACATGCTCCAGACCTGACATAAAGGAAAAGAATATCAAAATTTAACAAATCCAATGAGGTAAGTTTAACAAAAATATGATTCTGCCAACACATGGAAAGGGGAAGCTTCATAGGAGAAATTTATCGATAAATTTGAGTCATTTTCTAGGATTACCTGGGAAATTGGGTGCATCTTTAACAAGAAGGGGCAAATCAAAGTTAATACCCTTGATTTGTGGATACTTGGAAAGAACGAGCTTAAGATTTGTTCCTAATCCACCACCCACACCTACCACTTGGCTAACGACCTCAAAACCCTTGTAAATTTCTAGTATTTTTTTCATGACTATGGCAGTGTGGTTGGACTTTGCTTGGTTGAAAGGGTTGAAGAAATTATTATCTTTTGCAGCCATCTCAAAAAAGTTCATCCCAAATCCCTTGACAAATGATAAGCCACCTTCCAATGTTGCTTCTTTGAAGAAGTTCCTATACAGGTTGACAAGATATAAGGTTAGAGATGAATCACTTTTTATTTTATTTTATTTGAGAAAAAGAAGATTCAAACTTAAATCAAATACTTGGGTGCAGAGACATTAAAT